TTTGATTTTTTACCTGGATTACTGAGATGCATCAGGACAAACGCAGAAGTAATGCAACAGAAGCTTTTTGCATACATTTTAGTTAAATTTAGTGGATTTTACCACAATGTAAAAAAGTTAAAACCTTAAACAAATAATTTAATTTGATCATTCAATGAGATAATATACAAAAGAAAACACAGGGTCAGAATAGTTGAGCTGGCAGCGATGAGCGTTTGTCCTGTTGAGTCTGCATGTTTAATTGAAAAGGGTTGAAGATAAAGCTGCTGTGTATATCTGTAGGATTAAGATCAGCTCAGCGTGGACAGTTCATTTAGATTTTCTGTCATATCTGATCTCACTTTAATTCAATTAGCACTAATGATCCCTAGTGAACTAATGGGGCTAGTGCCACAATGTTACACACACAGACGTATACACAGAACAGCCAAATGTCTCTCTCACACAAATTATTATGCAAATAGATCAGTAGGCAATCATCTGTACATTATTCATGGACAGAGAAGGGCTGGCTTCATTTAACTCCAGTTTATCTACACCTGACGTTTTTTTAATGTCATGCTTGTGCCTTTCTTCTTCTTGAAATATCATTTAGAAATTGTTTTTGACATGTTTTTATTTTTCTGTTCTATAAACACATTGTATTAGGTAGCGTGTGTGTGTGTGTGCACATGTGTCTGTGCTACATTGATAGTTTTCCCCAGCCCTTCTGCCTGCAATAAGAATGGTGTCGCAGACATTAGACTTCCCCCTTGGAAGCCGGCAGACACTTTTATGGTGCCATCCCCTTCTATAAATACACTCTGTGTGTGTGTGTGTGTGTGTGTGTGTGTGTGTGTGTGTGTGTGTGTGTGTGTGTGTGTGTGCGTGCGTGTGTGCGTGCGTGTGTGCGTGCGTGCGCGCGCGCGTGCTTTTTTCTCCAACACTCCTTTTTTTTGCACGTACAATCTGCCTGTTGTTCACGCACACACGTGCGCACACACACAGGGAATGTAATGTGCAGAAAGCTATAACTGGGCTCCTTGTCTCTGATCAGGTTAGGTTTCATGCAGATGGTGGCTTAATGTCCCAGCTGAAGTGTGTGTGTGTGTGTTTCCTTCGTTTGTGTGTGGATGTGATTTTTCCCTGAGAGCTTTTAATTTCATTCTGCTTTTGTTTGTTGTTAATTAGTTTGATGTGTGCAAGCTGCTGTTTGGGAGTAACATCCTTCAGAGGTCACTGACAAAAGAAGTTCAGACTCGTTATGCTGCTGCTGGGACTTCTGGGTGTTTGTTATTCCAGCAGGAACCTAGTTCGTTTTTACAGGGTGTGTTATTGTGTGTTTCTGGGTGTTTAGATTTTTTTAATTTTTTTTTTTTTATCTTTCATCAGAAACTTATGAGGATTTTGATACTCGAATCATTGAGGTGAGTCTTTTTCTGTTTATTTGACTAAATAAGCTCATTAACCTCCATAACAAAGATTGATAAGTAAGTTTAGACATTAACATACACTCACCGGCCACTTTATTAGGTACACCATGCTAGTAACGGGTTGGACCCCCTTTTGCCTTCAGAACTGCCTCAATTCTTCGTGGCATAGATTCAACAAGGTGCTGGAAGCATTCCTAAGATTTTGGTCCATATTGACATGATGGCATCACACAGTTGCCGCAGATTTGTCGGCTGCACATCCATGATGCGAATCTCCCGTTCCACCAC